GAGAGGGAGAGGGAGAGGAGAGGAGAGGAGAGGAGAGGAGAGGAGAGGAGAGGAGAGGAGAGGAGAGGAGAGGAGAGGAGAGGAGAGGAGAGAGAGCATCCCAAACAGAGACCAGCTGGCCAGCTCCCTGTGCCCTGACTGGACACCACTCTGTGCAGGAAAACCTTGAGAATGGTGACAGGCTGTGCTGTCTCTCTCTTTCTCGCTGCTCCTCCTCGTCACCTCCACCCCCTTAGAGACGTGAGGTTCTGACAGACATGACAGGCTGGAAAAGGAAGGTGACAGTGAAGAAGGGGAGTTAAAAATACATCTCAGGAGAGCCTGGGTTCCTTTCCAGCCATGGGCAGGAGGTCTACAGCGTTCTGTGGAGCAGACCAAACTCAGCACCTTGTCGGGACCTCTAGTGTGGCTGTCCTCGTCACCCTCATTTCCCCCAAGAGGCAGTGTGACCACAGCAGAAGTCCATTTGTCTCCCAAATTAAATGCACCTGGGGTGGAATCTGAACACCACCAAGCAGCCGTGCATCCCGAACAAATGACTATGCTCCTCTCTGCCTTTGTTTACCTTTTTGTAAATGCGGGTGATCAGACAATCCATGCTGTCATAAGTGAAAATTTAGTGAGGATACTTTGCGTGAATAAATACTCTGCAAAGGAGAGAGCTGAACAGTCATCTGTGCAGCCCTCACATGACTGCCACAGGGAGAAAACACACATGCATATACATGCAAACTCCCACACAAACGTACGCTCCTCCCCCTCAGGCTTTGTGCTGAAAAAGCTGAGATGCCCCACCTGCTTTTCTTTAGGGTTGTGCAGCCCTGTGATAAGTGACCCCAGAGTACCTCCATCCTTAGGCTAAGGTCTTAGATGGGGAAGAGGAGGCGTTGTGATGGCGCCAGCCTACTGGGTGCTCCTTAGCCAAGGACCAAGAGTGGGTGAACCTGACCACACCCATGTTCTTCTAGAAGCTCAAGAAACATTAGTCATCTGGGAGCGTAGGTGCCCCAGGAAGGATTCGGGAAGGGCGTTTGATCAGAGGAACTGCTCAGGCTAAGGCATGGAGACTTGGGGTGCACCGAACAGCTCAGGTTTGAAGACAGGGTACATGGGGCCGTTCAAGCATGGAGACGGGGTGCATGGAGCATCAGTGAAGCTGGAAGAAGACGGGGTGCATGGAGCATCAGTGAAGCTAGGAAAGAGCTTATGCCTGGAGGATAAGCACTGGGTGTTGTGTTAAAGAACAAGCTTTGTTCCATGGAGGAAGCTGGGCACAGGAAGTTGGGGTCTTGGCGATCCTTGGGAAGGTGTGGAGGATTTGCCCTGGCATCAGGGACATTGGAATTACAGAAAAGCGAGATGGCTGGACAAGGATCCAGGAAGAAAGTGAAGTGGGCTCTGGGTACGAGGTGGGACAGGAGCAGATAGGAAATTGAAGGACATTGCCACAAAGGTTGAAGCGATAGACAA